GCCCCCCCCCCCCCCCGCCCCCCCCCCCCTCCCCCTTCCATCTTGTTTTTGTCTTGCAGTGCTAAGTCATTCTTGCTCAACTTGTACTACTGTACTACGACCGTCTAGGGATTCCTAGCTGCACATAAAACAGGATTGTTTCTAGCTGATTGGTTTCCTTGATTAATGACCAAGCTGACTCGGAGGCTGTTATCGTAAGCATAACCTGACAACATGCTGTCTGTGCAAATGGAGACGGAGACGCCGGATCTTTGCGTCTGTGTAGCTTTGAAAACAAACAAAAAGCACAACAAAAAAGAGAGACGGGAAAGTGAAAAAAAATACTGGTTGTGTTACTTAATTTTGGCTATTTTTACTTTGATGTCATTTAAGGTAAATGTTTGTCAAATGTCAAAGTAGTTTTTGTGAATATATGATACAAATGTACAAAAAAACTGAAAAATGGAAAGTTTTATGGTTGTGAAAAGCTTTACTTCACTAAATTACTTTATCAGCGGCAAAGAAAAGCAAGAGATAGAAAAGAGAATTTAACTACAGCTCCTTCACTGAGCTGCTTTGTGACTGTGTCTGTATTTGTTGGTATTTCTGTTGATGTCCTTCAAGTCGAGGGATACAGAAACGGCTCGGAGTATGTGCAACGCCCTTTGACCCCCTCGTCTGACTGACGGTTCACCCAACTATTCTGTTTCTGAACAGCGAGACGAGCAGTAAACACAGGCGTGGATGACACTCTGAGGAACTTGGACCAGAGCTGCTTCTCAAAGCTGCAGGCCTCCATCCTACCTGAAGGGACACAAAGCTGGGGTGTCCAGGCTAAAACTGTGTTTTTGTCTCTCCTCGCTGCCAAGAGGCCTTTCTCTTTTTCCCCTTTCAACTTTCAGACATCCAACAGGCCTCCATCACTGGTTTTACTGAACTGCTAGCCTGGGAATGCACTATTGATTGGTAAATGAAGATTATGAATAAAGTTTCAAACAAAGAGGAATGTTGCTGTTGTGTGGTTGTGACTTCATCTAATTTCAGATAAAACTACACAGGTAGGACTCTGGAAAAGGTAATAATTTGTAAATGAAATGTAGCCATGTGTAGTAACATGTGGACGCAGAAGACAAACAGACCGTGAAGCTGAGCTGAAGACAAGTTCATGACAAATAAGGTCTAGTAAGGTTGAAGAAAAGCATTTAAAAGTATAAAGAAGATCAGAAGGAGATGCTTTGTGCCTTTCTGGATCTAAAGAAAAAAATGATAGTGTGCCAAGAGAGTAACTGTGGTAATAGTGAGGTCGTCAGACATGGAAGACACATATATTAGGGTGGTGTAGGACATGTATGAGGACAACAAGACAGTGGTGAGGTGTGCGGTAGGAGTGACAGATGGGTTCAAGGTGGAGGTGGGTTTCCATTAGGGATCAGCTCTGAGCCCCTTCTTGTTCACAGTGGTGATGGACAGGGTGACAGATGAAGTCAGGCAGGAGTCTCCATGGACTATTATGTTTACAGATGACATTGTGATCTGGGGTGAGAGTAAGGACCAGATGGAGGAGAGTCTGGAGAGGTGTAGGTATGCACTGGAGAAAAGAGGTGTCAAAGTCAGTAGAAGCAAAACAGAAAACATGTGAGAATGAGAGGGAGACAGGTGTAACAATGAAGCTGCAAGGAGTAGTGGTAGTAAAGGTAAATGAGTTTAAATACCTGGAGTCAACCATCCAAGCCAAAGGACAGTCTATGAAAGAGGTAATCAAGGTGATTGTGACAGAAGGATAGCAGCATGCTGGATAGGACAGAAGGATGTACGTTTGAAGGTGGTGGCAGTAACAAAAAAGATAGAACTGAAGACATTAAGACTTTCAGTAAGGGTGACCAGAATGGACAGGATTAGAAATGAGTGCATCAGTGGGACAGCTCAGGTCAAACAGCACGGAGATGAAGTAAAAGAGACGAGACTGACATGGTTTGGACACGTGCAGAGGAGGGATGTTGAAGATGGAGCTGCCAGGCAGGAGGAAAACTGAGAGATTTGTGGATGCAGCGAAGGAGGGTGGTGTGACAGAGGAGGATGCTGGGGATAAGGTGAGATTGGAGGCAACTGATCCACCAGGGCAGCCCCTAAAGGGACCAGCTAGAAGAAGAAGAAGAAGAAGAAGAAGAAGAGCCCTTATTCAAAAAAGCTGCTGAGACTCTCTGATGCCACAGTTTAGTTCACCCCACACTCTGACTCACCTGCACAAATAACTTATTCTACTGACCCGACTCATGATGCAAAATGTGAGTCATATTTACCAAAAATGCTTGTTAAATCTAACATTATACATATCTCAAACCTAATTTAATCTAATGCACGAGGCCTACTTACTGTAGCCGAGGTGCTGCAATTGTAGTGTTACAGTTTGGTTAAAAAAAAAAAAGCATGGACGATTTATTTAGGCTTTCATAATTATCACAATAATTACCTTATGGAGTGCACCTAGGCTCTGCTTTGACCTCTGATGTGTTGAAAACATAAGGCTGTGAGCAGGGTAAGAGGCTAATATCACTCCGGCATGCTTCATTCTTGTAGAGGTCTGTCTGTGTGGCAGATGGTAAGAAGATGTGACAGAACATGATGGAAGCAAAGAGAGAGAGGAAAATGAAGGTTATCCCGAGGGTGATGGGAAGGATGAGGAGAGGATCAAAACTGAAGACACGGACAATATTGGAGGACATAAACACTGAAGGATGAGACGGAGGGAGTAACAGAGAAGGAAATACTGAGGCAACTAAACCCTGTGCACACAATTCAAGGACCAGAACTCAAACTGTACAATAAGAACTAAAACGAATGCTCAAAATTAAAATTAAAAAACACGACCTTCGAGACACTAGAGCAACAAGGAACCCTAAACAGAAACCCAAAATCAAATATATTCTCTAAATATTCAAACCCCAAAACAAAACAAACCACAGCATCAGCCCCCCCAGTCAGACACAGGAATGCTTCACACACTACATAAGAATTAAACTGACTTAGCTCGATTTCTTCTCAAGCTTTGTCAACCAACACAACACTTCGAGGTCCACGGGAAGCTAACCTACCCAGTAGATATGTGACAAGGCTGGTATGTTGTAGTTCTCTGATATCGATAGGTTCTTTTATTAGTTTCTTTCTTTTTCTTTTCTTTTCTTTTTTTTAGGGGGGGGGGGTGCTTTTCAGTAGAGGACAGTAATATTTCTGCAGGATTTTCCACCTTTGAATCAGACTACATCATCTGAAGTGAAGTCTATCCCATTGCATCCTGAAGGAAATGGTGGCATGAGGGCACTGAGTTTTCTTTATTAATATGTTCAGGATAAATCTTCATTAGTGGTTTAATGATCTGATGAAGATTCAGTTTTTAAAAAAATTGAAATAATAAAGTGAGTCCTTCTGCAGATCTGACGACACACCAACTGGCAGGCAATCTGGCTAGTTGTTCACTTTGAAAGTGAACAGAAAACACACTCACACACACTCCACGCCTGCCTCTTTTTGCTCTCTGTCCTCCCCTCAACACTGTCACCACCTGACCCAACCTACTACCCGTGAAATATGTCTGCAGGGACACGAGAAGGGACGGACTGTGGCGTAAAAAATAAGAAATATGGTGAAAATATGTATTGAGAGGAAAAACAAAGAAGGTGGCAAACATGAGAGTCTCATCACAACAAGACAAAAGACAGATGACGTGTGTGTGAGAACCAGACGTGATGTTCAGCGTGTTGAACCCTCTCTGCTGTCACTTTATCGCCACTCTCTCTGCTCTTCACTTCATTTTCAGGCTCATCGTCCATTTTTTTTTCGTGTGCGTGTGAATGTGTGTTGTTGCTTTTAATAGCATCACCATGGAAGTGAAGAGGGGTTGCTAGGTAACTGGCTGGCGTCTGAAAGGGTGTTTGATAGGCGGTCATACTGACAGACACAGCAGGAGAGGACTCGTGTGTGTG